TCCAATGGCGGTTGGCGGCGGGCCTCGCCGGCCTGGGTCGGTCGAGCGCGGCGGTGCTCCAGACTCACCATTCGCGACGTGAGCCGCCTCTAATCCATAGCCGCGTCGATGCCGTCAGACCTAATCAGTTGGGCCCCCGCCAGCGTCGGCTGCGTCGTCGATCGTAGCCATGTCGGCTGGCGTGCTGGAGTCGAGTGTTGCCGCTGCGACAATGTGCAGTTCGCTCGGGTCGATCGTTGCCCTCCTGGTTCTGCGCGCACTCGAGCTTCGCGGCGTTTGCGCCGGGTGCCTCCGCGATGGTGGTAACGGTGGATCTCTGCCAGGGGTGCTGATGAAGCGTCGTCGCGGGCTGATAGCTTGCGGCGCAAGTTGCTCGGTCGGGGCGACGCCGTCGCTTCTCTTGGAAATTAGGGACGGGTGTCTCTTGAGATCATATCCTGCGTATGTGGGTCTGGTTGACCAGGAGGCATCGCGCGATCGGACCGTGCTTCTGGCGTCGGCATTCGTACACGTCGCTTGGCTGCTGTCCTGCTGCTTGTGTCGTAGGTACCCTTGTCCTCGCTGGTGATGCAAATGTGGCATGTATGTCAGCTTACCTGGCCATGCCGTCAAGCTGCGATTGTGTACTTAGCGCGTTGCCGTCTTCCAGCGGGCACGTTGACATAGGCTGCGCTGGAGTTAAAAATTGATGTAAGTCATCATCGTCCGTAGCGATCGCCGTGATGAGGGCCTGCTCGACGGCGTCGACCATCTCCACGCTGTTGAAACGTTGTTTTTCTTTGTCAAAGTCGCGGCGGGCTTGGCGGTGCTCTTCGGTTGCTTCCTCGGTGCGCTTTTCGTGGGTCGCCTTCATGTTCCTCCACTGGATCTACTCTTGCCAGTCGATGTGTATCTCTTGCTGCAAAGCATGATGTTGCTCTGCTGTGCCCATAACCGCTCTTTGCTGCACGAGTTGTACTCGTCCTTCGGCCTGGGTCGCGTTGTAGCGTGCGTGCTGCGCGTATGTGTTCATGCCCGTGGGTACTCTGCGTAGGTATCCCGGATGTTGTTGGGCGTGCTCGGCGTCGCTGGTCCTGACGAGCCGTTCGATGTCGGTGACCCTATGCTGGTGCTCCTCACGTGCATATCCTGTGCATATTATGTTGCTGAAGTCGTTGTTGGCCTTGTGGGCCCCTGTTCTTTGCGTCGCCCCATTGGTTGTACAGCATGATGCGACCGTTGTGATAGTTGGTGCGCGCCTCGGCCGCATTCGCTTCAATGTTGGCGACTTACTGCTCGGCCTCCATGGACATGCATTAGCACTTGTGCTTTTCATCTGCCATCCTTGCAGCCTCTCTCAGCTGCTGCTCCATGGCGGCGCAGTCGTTGCTGCTGTCGATGAGCTTTTGCTGCGTCCTGGAGCTCAGTTTTCCGCTGTTCAGTCGAAGGTGTGCGTTGATGGTCGTGCGTGGCCTTCGTGTTCCGCATCGCCGCCTCCAGTTCCTCCTCGGTCCTCTCGAGAGCCGCCTCCATCGGCATCTGCAAGGATTAGTGGTGCGCTGCCATATTCTCAATCGTCTGTTTGGCGATGTGGATTTCGTTCATGAGGAGGTCGTCGTGGTATCCCGGTGTCCTGGTTGCGTCTGCGCTCTGATTGTGCTCATGTTTCTGCGCAACCTCTTCAGACTTTCGGAAGTGGTCCTTGAGAACCTGGATCTCGTTATTGGCGTCGATCCCGTTCGTTTTGACGTCGTGGGCCATGCGCTGGTTGTCCTCCTTGATGTTCATGAGCAAGGTTCCGATGTCTTGTCGCTTTGCGGTCTTTCCCTTACCACCGTGGTTGTTGCCCTTCCCGTTGCGGTTTTGGTTCCAATTTTTGTTCGGGGTGGTCCTTGGCCCACTGGACCGTCCACTTGTGGTTCTCACAGCGTGCGAGGCCCGATCCAATAGCCGGCGTGGTGGGTTTCGGTGTCGTTGGTCTGTTTCGTGGACGGTTCGATGCTGACCTCCATGGTGGCGGTGCAATTCCCGATCCGCTCGCAGTTGCACTCCATGACGTCGCCATGGTCGGAACTTGAAGGGGGTGTCGAGGTGGCTGCTGGGCGCTGCGATGCGGTTGCAATGGTTTCCTCCTCCTTCTCCTCCTCGCCCTGCTGCTCGTGATTTTCGTCGTCGTCCTAGTCGTCGCCATCTGCAACCGCCACCCCGTTGCTCAGCCCGCTGAGGCCACCCATTTGGCGGGTTCATTTCTCCGCCGGCGTCCGCCTCCTCTGAAACTTCCTGCTGCGATTCTGCGCGGAAGGGGAGGAAGAGGAGGAGGGAAGACCACTGCAAACCCAAGACTCATCAACGATGTTGGAATAAACCCTCCCTCCAAGCTCCTTTTTCATAGGCCCCTACAGGGATTCATTTTCACCGAAGGAAATGCCCGTGGGAGCCATCTGTTTGAAGATCCTGAAGCGTGCCAAAACATCATTTTCGGATCTTCGAAGCCACAAGTCAACGTGAATGTGGCGTTTTGACGATCCAGAGTCGTGCCAGAATACCATTCGTGGGACTTCAACACCGCGAGTCAACTTAACTGCTGCGCCCTGACAGTCCTGAACCGCTCCCAAACACCGTCACTGGCACGTTAATCATGGGAAGCCGTGCAACGAATATTAAGTTGGTTCTTCACAAACAACCCAAAAAAAAACGAATGCACGCAGCGCTAAGGCGAGAGCCACATGTTCAAAACCACCCGCCCTCAATCCGCGAAGCCCTTGCAGATGTTTGAAACGAATTTGCGCGGCGCTAAAGCGAGCACCACATTTTGAAAGCCACCCGCCCTCCATTCGTGAGCTGTTGCCAATGTACAAGCTTCAAGACCATGAATGGTAAGGACGTCTCAGGCGAAACGCCCGGCCCGTCCTTTCGACCAGCCTCGGGGTGAGACAGGGACGAGCTACCTATAAGCAGAAGGAATGGATGGATGAGGAAGAGGAGGAGGAGGAGGAGGAAGGAGGAGGAGGACGAGGAGGAGGGAGGAGGCAGGGGGGAGGAGGAGGAGGGAGGAGGAAGAGGGGGAGGACGGGGAGGAGGAGGGACGAGGAGGAGGAGGGAGGAGGAGGAGGCCCAGAGCTCTCTCCTCCTTCTGCTGCGTCCTTCTCCTCCCCATCCAGCAGCCGATCGAGCGGGCGCTCCGTCTCCGACGCGAGATGCAGCTGTCGCCAGGGCGGGCGTCCTGGTAGGCACCAGGCCGCCTCCCCGCAGTTTTCGCGGCAGCTCTCGGCGACGCACGGCCAGCGCAACTCCAGCCCGCTCTCCGCGCACGCCCCAAACACCATCGCATATTTTCTGGGGCGCTGATCCGCGGCCCCGCGCGGGGCGGGAGACGAGCTCTGATCTCCATGGGCGATCGCGGGATTGACCAGCCCCAGGCGTCATTCGCACGACCAGCACTTGAGAGTTCTTGTAAACGACCGCGTGAGGACTCACCCGCCCGCAAACGCTGACTTCGGGAGCGTCCTCCTCCTGCGTGCGCCCTGTGCACTTATACCTCTGCCTGCCGCGCGCTGCGTTACCCGACACCCTTGCAGGCCGCGCAAACCACCCGAACTTCCTTACGGATGATCCCTATCCTGCGCGCGGCTGATGCGCTCCTTCTCCGAAGAACCTCTGCTGTACGCCGCGTACTTCGTCTCCCGTACCAGCCCTTTCGGCCGTGATGGCCACCGTCTTCGCAGTGAATGCCCCGCTCGTGACACCCCCCACAGAACGATCTGACTCTTTTCCTCGATCGATGATCCTCTACCTGGTGATGTTCCAAATTGCCGGTGTCCCAAAACACAACCCCGCTTGGCTCCGCACGTTGAGCGCTGTTTCGTCTGCATATGATTCCTCTTGTGGTTCGTCGTCTCTCCAGAGGCCAAGAACATGGCTTTTGAATGATGTCAAGGATCTCATCTTTTTGGACTGCCAGGGGCCCATGACGGCCCCGGTAGCCTCCAAAATGGCCTCAAGACGGCCCGAGAGAACCCCGAGAGAGTCCGAAGATGGCCCAAGGGGGGCCCAACATGCGCGCAAAGGTCCACAAGGCGGTACACGAGGCCCCCAAGACGGCCCAAGATGGCCCAAGACAGTCCCGGGGCGGCTCCAAGAGGCTCCCAAAACTGCCTCCACAGGGGCCAGACAGCGCAAGAGCGCCACAAGTCGGCCCTAGAGACCCCCACGAGGCTCCAAGGGGCCCCAAAGACCCCAAGAGGCCCAAAGAGCCCTCCAAGAAGCCTCTTCCAAAAAGCTCCCAGGAGGCTGAGGCCCCATAAACGACTTGACTGTACGCGCTCCAGACGTTCACCCCGCGAAACGAAAGGAATGAATGATTTGCGCCTTCTCGCCTTTTCGCTTCCGATGGCCCTCTGAGGCCTCCACGTGACCCCAAGGTGGCCTGAAAGAACCCCACCAAGAGGCACCAAGCGCGCCCAGGAGAGCCTCAATAGCGCCCCGAGAAGCTTTGATGAGCGTTCATGACGGGGGTGCGGGGGTGGAAAGGGCAAATCTAGGGTAGGACCCTCTCTCTTTGTATCGCCGCCCTGCAAGAAGGCCCCAAGAGGCCCTCCAGGCTTGTCGGAAGGCCTCAAAGCAGATCCCCAGAGAGATCCAAAACACTCCGAAAGAGCCCGATGCGGATGCCAGGACCTTCCACAAGGGTCCCCAGAGGGCTCCAAGAGGACCCAAATAAAACCTCCGGAAGGGCCCAAGAAAACTCCAAGATGGCTCCAACAAGTCATGTTCCTCCCTCCTTATCTTCCCAAAGATAGCGGCCGCCCCGCGACGAGAGGATCCCAAGAGGGCCCCAAGAGTTTGGGTGTGACGGCTCCCCCAGCTCTTTCTTCAACTGCATACTCCTCCACTTCCCTAATCGATGCAACTCGCCTGAACATCATGCTGGATGGGCTGGTGGGAATACGCGTAGCGTCACGAATTGCTCAAACCTCCCGACATGGACCCTCACCAGCCCCCCTTCCCCCGAGCGATCGCACCTTCGGACAGCGCGACCCACACGTTCTCTGCCGGCATCAGCGCCACCTCCGCCGCGAGGGGGCGGCGTGTGATTGGCAGGAGCGCCCCCATGGGCAAGAGCCAGAGGGCTGCTGAGCTGTAGCCCCAACGCTCGAGGATCGCGGGGGGGCGGGCTTCTTGGCGCTCCTGGCCCCGTCTCGGCGGCGCGCCCAGGGGGGGAAGGCAGAGGGGGCGGGCCTTCTCCGAAGGCTCAGAAGGCCTCCAGTCTTCTGAGAGGTGTTCTGAGCCAGTCTCCGAGTGTCAACGACGGCTCCTCAGACGGCCGGCGAGCCTCTGAGAAGCCCCGCCGTCTTCTGAGAAGGCCCGCCCCCGCCTCCCTGCCCCCCGGGGCGCGCCGCCGACCTGCTTCCTGCCTGCGGGTGGGCCTCCCGGGAGGGGGGGAGGCAGGACTCGGGGCGGCGGCAACGCTTGCCAAGCCAGGAGAGGCCACACTCCTCCGCCTACTCTCCCTGAGGGCTCGACGACTGCAGGGGGTCAGGCCAGATGCATCGAGGTAGACAGCTCCGCAGATCTAGTACATCCGAACATATCCTAACAAAACCCCACATCTCCAGATAGATCTGGGGAAATCGCGGAAGCTCCAGCGCTCGTCGGGCTCCTATCGCCAGCGCCAAATGTGGTTTGAAGACAACGCTCGGTTTCGCCCTGTACCGTTCTCCACACTGGCCGCACTGCACCGCCGCTTGTCAGGCCTGCTGCATTCTCAACGTCTCCGGCAATCATGCGAATACCCGCCCTGGCCAGTCCGTCTGTGGCATTCCCTCCCTCCGGCGCTGCGCGGAGTGGTGCTGCGAGCCTGCATGCTGCCGAAGCGATCTCCACACAGACGCGGACTGACCCGTGCTGCGCTGGTTGCCTTCCGTGCCCATCGGATTTCCAGCCGTTCCGCGACGCAGCTGTCGCAAAAGGTACGTGGCGCGGCTGGTGCGGCCGAGGCCGGCCAGCTGGGCTTCCGTTCTGGGCGGGGGCTCGGAACAGAGCGGCCTGACTCCCGGACCCTTGCCGGCGGTCGAGACATGTTCGCACCATGACGTGGGCCGAGAACAGCGGCCCCTGCCCCGAGGGGCCGCGGCCCTCATGGAGATGCCCGAGTGGGAGAGCCCCCCAAGACAGAGAGCCCCGCCACGGAGAGCGTAGCCGTGTCCCTCAAAGGCTGGCGTCGTTCTTGACACTCGCGCCAGCTGTGCCCTCTCCTGCCTTCGTTCCTCTCCATCCTTCGGACCAGTCCACCCGATCGATCTGTCTTCAACGGCTGCAACAGAAGAATCCAATCCATGGCCAACCACTGCGTCCCTCCCGAACCGTTGGACATCTCCGACGGCCTCCGAAGAACATCCGAAACATCCGACAACCGCGGAAACTACAACACCTGTCCTCATCCCCTGACCTCCGACGTCGTGATTTGATTGCAACGTGGAACCCGGAAGTCTCGAACCCTTCGCTGGGAACGGCTTATCACCCCGACCAATCTTCATATGGTCCATGGGCCCAGTGAGAGCCCCGAAAATTGTCCCCAACTCTCCGTCGTCATTTTTCACGACGCCAAGAAGTCCGTGCTCGGGGGTCAAAATTCAATCCTCTGGCCTGTCCCAGGGTGAGCTCGGACCAGAATTTTGAAGCGGTCCCAGCCCTGGCAACGAGAACGCCCCAGGATGCATAAAAACAATAAACTGCCAGAGCCCTGGCCCTCAAAGCTCGAACGTCCACGGTCCTTCCCCGAGTGGCTTCGGGCCATGACTCGGTCCTCCAGCGGCAGTCCAAGACGTTGCAGGCACCCCTGGAACGCTGTCGGCGCGGCGCAGCTGCTGGAACGCATCTCGAAGCGAGGAACCTTCCAAGAACCAATGAAAGCGTCATACAATTTTCGAGCGCATCCCGAGGCGGGAAAACCTCCAAGGGCCACCGAACGCTTCCGAAGACATCCGACCGCATCCAAAGGCGAGAAACTATCCAAGAGCGCGAAGCGAACAATTCCGACGGAACTCCTGAGCATTCTTCAGCTGATCCCCATCCCCACGGGCATAGCCTTGGCCCGGCTGGCCGACGTAACCCCCTCGGCGGGGATCGGAGGTCGGGGAGGTGAGATCGCAATGAGACGGAGAGCCCCCCCCCCTGGGAACTCGGCTCCGCTTTCGTGCTCGTGCCGCGCGTGCGGGCGCGGCGAAGCTGCGCGGGCGCGCGATGAGAATGATGCCGCCGTGGCTGGGGGCCGTGGAACCGTTTGACCGTCCCCCCTGGAGCCTCCCCTGGAGCACGAGTCTTTGGTGTTTTACGTGTGTGTGTGTGTCTATATATATATATATATATATATATAGTCCTTCTCTTGCGTATCCAATCCTACGTGTTTTACGTCTGTTCCTATGGATTGGGCCTCCCCTGGGGCACGAGTCCTTGGTGCTTTACGCGTGTTCCTGTAGATTGCCCTTCTCCAGCGGCCCGCCCGCCGTGCCCCGTCGGTGGCGCGGGCGTGCCCCGTCGGCGGCGCGGGGGTGCCCCGTCGGGGGCGCGGGGCGTCCCCACGGTGGCTCCGGGTGGTCCCGCCGTGGTGTCTCGACGGTGGCTCGTGAGAGCAGTCGTGAGATCGACAGTGGGATCGATAGTGGGATGGATTGCGAGATCGTCATCGTCAGGTCGATCGTGAGATCGTGAGATCGATCGTGAGATCGTGAGATCGATCGTGAGATCGATGGCAGCAAATCTTTGGCTGGGGGGACCCCGCCGTGGCTGGGGGTGCCCCATCGTGTTGTCCCGATGGTGTCTCGTGAGACCTCTGGTGAGGTCGATCGTGAGATCTATGGTGAGATCGATAGTGCAGTCGATAGTGAGACCGATAATGCGATCGATGCCGAGAGCGATAGTGAGATTGATGGTGAAATCGATTGTGAAATGTGTTGTAACATCGATCATGAGATCTGGTGTGAGGTCCACAGTGATGTCGACAGTGAGATGTGTGTTGTGATCTCGAGAGTGACATCCATAGCGGGATCGATCACAACAGACCTCACTATCCATGGGTCGTGTTCGTCCTCGCTCCAGCGAGCACTCCACGCGTTGCAAGCGCCGCGGCCATGCCGACCATTGCTACGACAGCGGTGTGGCCCAAGCAAGCTTTACGCACGATCTTTCATTCCGCCTCTTCGATATGTCTGCGGGTGGCGCGCGCCTGATCGCGAGTCCTACCTCGCCGCCAGGCTCTACAGCGGTGCCGAGTATGGTGGGTCGAGGAAGTACGCGGAGGGTTCCAGAGCGATAGTGAGATCGATACTGGGATCGATCATGAGATCGATAGTGGAACTGGTAGTGAGATCATTCGATTGGAATCGACTGCGAGGTCACATGTATGTGATGTGAGCTTCATCGCGACTGTGTCGCCCTCACTACAATCACATGAAACATTCTCACCATTCTCGCAAACGTTGTCAGTGGGTTTTCCTTCCCCTCCAAACCTCCTTATCACCCGCCGCCGCGGCTGCGAGGCGGGGATTATCCATAACCACCGCCTGGGAGGTCATCGTCGGAAACGTCGGCAAGCGATAGATATTGACATATTTACCCACCCCCCACCAGGGCCCGCATATATCCATGTCCACCGCAAGCCGATGTCCCCGAAGACCGATCCCCCACAGGCGGTGAGTAAGGAAAAATCCCCACCTCGGAGCGCCGACACGACGCGGAGCTGCTGCAAGTCAGACGAGGCCGAGCTCCCTCGCCCGCTCGGCTCGGCCACGCGAAAGAGTGGCCCCAGGCAAGAAGAGCGACTTCTGGTGCGCGACTCTCTGGGGACCGCGGGGAGGCCGAACCAAAGTGCGCAAGCCGCTGCTGTAGCATCGCATTCGGCCATCCGGGGGCCACAAAGTGCCCGCACCGGAAGTCACTCCGGCGAAAGGTCGCTATTACGCATAGCCAGCCAGCCTGTGCCGCGAGCTGGCTGTAGCCGCTCACGTCGCAGCGGCGGTCCATGTCCTGCTCGGGAGGGGGGAGAGCGGGGGGCTCGGGTGCACCGGAGCAGGAGGAGGAGGAGGAGGAGGAGGAGGAGGAGGAGGAGGAGAAGGAGGAGGAGAAAGAGGAGGAGGAGGAGGAGGAGGAGGAGCAGCAGGAGGAAGAGGAGGAGGAGGAGGAGAGGGCAGGAGGAAAGAGGACGAGAAGGGAGGAGGAGAAGGACGAGGTGGAGGAAAACGGGGAGGAAGGGGTGGTTGGAGAGATGACGGAGGAGGGTGAGGATGAGGTGGATACGAAGGAGGAGGATGAGGAGGAGGACGGGGAGGTAGAGGAGGATATAGGAGAGAGCGTGATCCACCGCCGCTTTACTGTTGACAATTCCCCCCCCTCTTCCTCCGGAACCCGGCCCACCCCCCCTCCGAGAATCCCCCCCCCCTGCTGGACCCCCCCCCCCTTCCCCCCGGCCCCCCCCCCCAAAACCCCCCTCCCCCTCCGGACAACCGAGAGGGGGTCACTACCGGTTCGAACCCCTCCCCCCCCCCCCCGGAAAACCGGAAGGGGGGGGTCACTACCGGTTCGAACCCCCCCCGCCCCCCTCTGGAAAACCGGAAGGGGGGTCATGAACCCCTGCCCCCCCCACGGAAAAACAGGGGGGGTCACTACTGGTTCGAAACCCCTCCCCCGCCCTTCCCCCTTCCCCTAGAAAACCGGGGGGGGTCACTACCGGTTCGAACCTCCCTCCCCCCCTCCAGAAAACCGGGGGGGGGTCACTACCGGTTCGATCCCCCCCACCCACGCTCACCGCCGGCAAACGACTCCCGAATCCCTACCACCGTCCGCACCACATCCCCCACTGCTGTCCCTAGCACCACTGTCCTCACCACCCCTGTCCCCACTGTTCCCACCACTGTCCCCACTGTCCCCACCAGTGCCCCCACCACTGTCGCACTGCCCCACTGTCCCCACCACTGTTCCCACCACTCCAGTCCCACTCTCCCCACATTCCCCACGGCCCCAACCACTGTCCCACTGTCCCCACTGTCCCCACTGTCCCACTGTCCCCGCCGCTGTCCCACTGTTCCCACCACTGTCTCCAGTGTCCCCACCACTGTCCCCACTGTACCTCTATCCCTTTGTCCCACCGCCGTCCTCCCCACCACTATCCCACTGTCCCCACCACATTCCCACTGTCCCCACACCACTGTCCCCACCACCACCGTCCCCACCACTGTCCCACAGTCCACACCACTGTCCCACTGTCCCCACTGTTCCCACCATTGTCCCCGCTGTCCCCACTAGTGCCCCCACCAGTGTCTCACTGTCCCCACTCTCCCCACCACGGTCCCACTCTCCCCACTTCCCCCACGGTCCCCACCACTGTCCCACTGTCCCCCACTGTACCTACCACTGTCCCACTGTCCCCGCCGCTGTCCCACTGTGCTGTCCCACAGTCCCCACTGTCCCCACCACTGTCCCACTGTCCCCACTGTCCCCACCACTACCGTCCCCACCACTGTCCCACTGTCCCACCACTGTCCTCACCACCGCCCTCACCACTGTCCCCACCACTACCGTCCCCACCACTGTCCCACTGTCCCCACCACTGTCCCGCTGTCCCCTCACCACTGTCCCCACCACCACCGTCCCCACCACTGTCCGCACCACTGCGCCACTGTCCCCGCACCACTGTCCCGTCCCCACCACCACTGTTCGAACCGGTAGTGACCCCCCCCCTTTTCATGATGAACTGGGCTGGGGGGGGGAGGGGTACGAACCGGTAGTGACCCTCCCCCCCTGGTTTTCCAGGGGGCGAGGGGGGGGGACGGGTTGGGAACCCCCAGTACCCCCCCTCCGGTTTTCCGCCAGCAGCGGTAGAACGAGCTCTTTGGGAGGAGAAGATCATGGGTGATGAGGCGCAGAAGGAAGAATAGGAGACTGAGACGGAGGAGGAGGAGGAGGAGGAGGAGGAGGAGGAGGAGGAGGAGGAGGAGGAGGCGGGGAATGATAACACGTAGTGGAGAGAGCGCGGGGAAGAGAACGAGAAGGGATGGGTGGCTGAGCAGGGCGAGGCGGAGACGAAGGAGACGGATGGACTCGGAGGAGAAGGCGAGGGAGGAGCAGGCGGAACGGGAGGAAGCCGAGGGCGAAATCCTTGCTGGGGAGGCCCGCGGAGGGCAGGGCGGGGTGCTCCCGCACGTGGACATCACGTTCGAAGTGGACAGAAATGTTCGAACACCAAAGCACCGCCCTCACTGAGATCAACATTGACATCGGGGGCGTGGGGGTGATTTAGAATCTCCCTCGAATGGGTAAGGGTTCGAACATCTTGTCCATCTACTGTCCACGTTTCAGGAGAGGCAGGAATTCTGGCGGGGCGCTCGCGCACCAAGCAGAGTCAGCCGAAGAGGAAGAGGACGCGGAGGAATCCGGGAGGTTGGGGCCTTGAAGTAAACCGAGCACAGCACCTCACTCAGCCAGGGACGTCGACCTGAGGCCTCTGCTGAAACAACTCGGATGCTCTCGCATGCTAGCAGAGTCGGTGGATGGGTCACAAGGCTTGGCCAGACTTCCAGTTCAGGGATGGAGGAGGACCCGCGGACCGAACGACTCCGCCGACTGAACGAGCGAGCCACGAAGCAAAAGGAGGAGCGCGCGGCAATCCAACTGGCCGCGCTGGTGGTCACCGTTTTGGGGAAGCCCCAGTCGCGTGGAACACATTGCCTTTTAAGGCACGGCCTCCCCGACGCATCCGGCCCAACACGCAAGCATTTGTGAGACCTTGTCCCTGCGTGCTTCGCTTATCCAGCACTAAAGTGCCCCCAGACCACAAGATGGGGTGGGGGGGGGGTCAGCGGCACCTACCTCCCTTGAACGCCCGCCTGGCCCACTGTCTCTCCCCTCGCCTCCAGGGCGGCTGCAAAGGAAAACCGCCAACCCCCCCCTAAACCTCCCAAAAGGCTTCCTGAACGAGGGTTTTGGGGGGAAAACCCACCACCCCTCCTCAACCCCCTCACAAACCTCTGAGAGGGGTTCTGGGCGGGAAAACCCCAGATCTTCCCCTCACCCCCCAAAAAAAACCCGAGAGGGGCTGCGGGGGAACTCCCAACCCTGACACCCCCAGAAACCCTCCCTGAGGAGGGTCTGGCGGGAAAACTCCCGAACGCCTTCTGACCCCCCAAAAGATCCACCCCTGAGGGAGGGCTCTAGGGGGCAAACCTTCCTAACCCCCAGGAGGGGTTTTCCAGGGGGTGGTCTGGGAACTGCCACCCCAGCGGTTCATGTTGCAAGCGCTGCAAGCGTTCAAGACGGCTCCAGGAAGGCGAGCAATGCAGCCACGAGGACCCCGGACAAAATAAAAAGATGCCCGAGAGCAGCGAAAAGAGCCGGGCAAATCTGTGATGAGGGTCTCTCTGGATGCCTCCAGGGGGCGCTCTTGGAGTGCTCTCTGAGGAGTTGCTCGGTGTCTCTTGGGCGGGCTCTCCGAGGTCTTTCGTCATAGTTGGAACCTTTATGGGGGCGTCTTGATGCTTCTGTAGGCATGAAAAAATCCATCCCCACAACAACCACCCCGACACGCGAAGTCGTGTAGCAAACGCGCCCACATAAGGAATCGAAGAGGGCAAAGCTGCTTAGGGAACGCCCAGGGCCATTTAGAAAACGCCAATTATCGGGTCCGGGTGGCTTTTCCTCCCTTGATTCTGAGGGCGTCTTGGAAGCTTCCTGGGGCCCTGCTGGCGGCCTCGGGGGCCGTCCGCGGCGGGCGGGCTCGCTCTGTGAGCTCGGGCTCCTCCTCTTGGGCCCCTCTTGGGGGCCTCTCCTGCAGCGCTTCTTTGGGCTGAATTTGGAGCTTTCTGGGCCGTCTTGGGGCCCTGCCGAGGGTCTCTCGGGCCGTCTTGCGACATGTCTGGGCGGCTCTTGGGCTGTCGTAGAAGGTTGGGAGCGCGAAAAAACGAGAATGCGACTTCATTGAACAGCCACCTGGGAATCACCAGTGTGTGCCTCTTGCGGATCGTCTTGCGGCCGCTCTTGGGCCGTCTTGGGGGCCCCTTGAGCCGCCCTTAAGCCGTCCTGTGCATTTCCTCATTGCTCAAGTTCTATCCGCTCGCTCAAGCGGTCAGAACTTTAAGATATTGCCATTAAAGGCTTGTCGACTCGAAAATGACAACCTATGTAGGGGCGACGTTTGGCAACAATGCGCGTCGAACAGGGCATCGCTCCCAGAGGCCCATAGAAGTCATGCCAGACATCGAACAGTCGTTCCGAGTGCGCCTGCATGGGTTCGAAAGGGCCTCGTGGCAATCCAACCAACGCTTCTTTTCCTTGCCTTAGATCCTGTGTGGCACTTCGTCGGAGGGGAGGCCCGACGTTGCCCCATCAGCCGAACTACTGCTGCTGCACCTCGCCTTGTCTTTGTGAGGCCGTCCTGTGCGTCTTGGAGCGAGCTTGGGCCGTCTTGGCGGCTCCTTGCCGTCCCCGCAAGCCATTGTGGGCGCCTCGGGGGGCCCGAAAAGCTTCCTGGAGCCCAACAAATGGCCCGCTGTCCTCCGTGGCCAGCGGCGGGTTCACTTAAGCCGTTGACCTAAGGAGCGATGGATAAGGATCGAAGCTCCTTTTATCCATAAGTGAAACTTCGACTTCCGATCGAAACCCGAAGGAAAACCGAAGGCAAACTGTAAAACAATTATGGAGCACGGAGCCCCTCCCAAACGAAAAAGGTTTCTTCTTCAGCGCCCCGACTGTACCGGGAGGGGGGGAAATTCGGGAGGGTGTGCCGGCCCAGGGGGCCCCCAGCACTGCGGCATATGTTATGATATGCTGACCCTGAGCTCCTGTCGCGAAAAAGGACACTACAACAGTGTCGCCACGAGCGTGGGGGCTAAATCCGCCTCGGCTTCCTTCACAATGGTGGACCAGCTGTCCGGCCTAAGGGGTGAAACAACATGCCGCCTAGGCAGGTTCACGGGAGGAGGGGTAGGAGGAAATAATGGTACGCCTGGGCATGAGAGGGAACGTTGAGTTATGGG